CCCTTCCAAATCCTCTCTCCACTGTAATTATCCTTGTAACAGGAAATAATGAGCATATGATTTAACATAATATCAAAATGTATCAGTCCGTATCTCAACGTATATGTATCAGTTTTTTAACCTAGGACATGTGGCCACTTTTGAACAATAATACCCTTCCCAAAGATACCTGAATCAATTCTTGAATTTACTTTTACAAGCTTGTGCCTACACTAAAAACAGGCAGTCAGGCACAAATACGTAAATCAAAAGAAAGCTCTCTTTGGCATGAGCTGAATGACTTATCCCCCCTTGTCGTTTAGTTTATAAAATAGTTTGAGGATATAGTAATCAACCCAACTTCAGTTTCAACCACTAAGAAGCCTACAATCTCCTGAATGAATTATTTTCCAAAAGACAAGCAATAAGTCATTCACCTCAGTAACTTAATCTGTTATGGAACAGCCCCCAAGTGTCAGAAATGAAATGAATACCCTGTTGAAGGCTACCAGCGCCTACCATCCTAACAGATGCAGGTAAAAACATACCATCTTAATTTAGGGGTGATGCCACTTTTTGAATTTCTAAATCTAATTGATGGTATTGAAAGATTAAAGCCAATCTAGGAGTTTTATTTTACAGCATCCAGGCTAAAGCATAAAGGCTGTACTTACCCTGATTTCCATGCACAATGAGCCTCTGATCCCAGCCAGGCAAGTGCTTTCTGGCATTTCCTTTCCAAGCCTCTTCAAAACCAGTAAGCTCATCTAAGGAAAGACATGTCAGTACCCGGGTTACCCCTGCTTAAGCAATATAATACTTTCAGTGTTGCTCGATGATTAAAGGCATACCCTCATTGAGATTGTGTAAGGTCTGCATAGTATCCACTTTTCCATCAGAGTTAAGCTTCCTTGTAATTGAATGGCCCTACAAGCGCAATACAAACATCATATTTTCACCTCCACAATTACAAAAAGAAATGCTCCATTCAGTACAAACCAACTGTTTTTCCAGAAGTATTAAGTCCCAATTCACTAACATACTAGGCATAAATAACATAAACAAATAGGACACGACTGATCAGTTTGGTCAACAGTAACCAAATGCACAAATGCATCAAAATGCAAAGGAAGAGGACTAGCAGACAAATACCTTACCATGAAGTCCCCTAGATATCTTATGTGTGGCTTGACCTGTAGTTTTATCAGCTTCTCTGTTCTCTTCTAATGTGACCTGATCAAACAGAAGCAAATTAGCAAAGTAATAACCTAAAAGTTCTATTTCATCACTCTCAGCCAAACAAAGTACAAATACCCCATCAGTGCCTGCCCTTCTGGTTGTGGAAGAAGTATAGTATGCCCCATTAGCACCGGCATAAGTAACTGAAGAGCTGTGAAAGCTGTAACTGCGAACTTGGGGACGTGCACTATGTGCCTTCTCTGCAAGATAAAAACCCGAATAATTTACATTGTCAGAATCTGACAACTGCTACAATCTGAATTCTGAAGATTGCATATATTGTTTTCAGAAGCCCAATTACCCAAAGACTCTTACCCTGAACCTGAACTTCATCATCTGGATCCTCAACATATGGCTCCTTCGAGCTAGAATGCATTCTAGGTTTCTCTCTCTTTCCTTTGGCTTTAGCATCTTCTTCATCCTTATCTTCAGAAGTAATTTCTGTGATGATCGGCCCCTTTGGTTTATTAGACTGCGGGGCCCGATTATCCAAGAATCCAACAAGATGCATATCTGAATTTCCAAAGGGAATCGCATTTGGCCTGAGCATGTTTGGACCAAACATGCTTTGAAATGGAGTTGTGAAGAAAGGATCATCAAAAGGGTCCCTTCCTCCAAAAATGCTAGACGCTAAACTCCTGTGGCCACCGAAATCAACAAAAGGATCGCCAAAATCGAAGGAATCACTTCTGCGTGCTCTTTCTCTCTGCATTTTTTTTTCTACGTAATAACCTACGAAAAATCGAAAACAAAACTATAACACTATTAAAATAAGACCACAATGTACTACTGAAAATAGTAACAGTAAAAAGGACGGAAGCCAACAGCGAAGCAAAAACCCAGAAGTCCTCTCAATGAAGGTATCTTCCCGTTACAAAGCTGAAGAACCGAAATACCAAATCACAGAAACACAATATACACATTACCAACTATTTAAGAACGATGACTGCACATGCACAAACAATCCATTAAGGCTGTCTTTGATTTGATGGAAAGTAAGAGAGAAATAGAAAGTTGAAGGAAAGTTCGTAAACAAGTTTTCACAAAATTTATTAACAACTTCCTCAATTTTCTGTTTCTCTCTTATTTTTCTATCAAACCAAACATAACCCAATGAAAAAAGGAAATGGAAAAGAAAACCGATGACGAGTTGCAGCGGAGAAATCAACAGCGAGGCAAAAACCGAGATGATCCTCTCAAGTGATGGCTTATTTTTTCATATAAATTTAAGGAATTGACGACGTTCACAAATAAAAACACCATTAACAATAAAGCAACAAAAACAAAACATATCAAAATGATACCATCGATGCCATCTTCGATCAATTTTAAAGGCCACGAGGAAGCGGAAAGCGTACCTTTTATATGTAAAACTTGAGAAATTGATTCAGGGGAGAAGAAGAAGAAGAAGAAGAAGAAGAAAAAGAAGAAGAGAGGCTTCGTGTTAGCAGGGGCCTATATCGTTGCCTCTAAAACCAGAAGGAAATCAAGAATATGAGGAGAATCGTAAATTTCAATTTATACGAGACAGAGAAAGAGAGGAATTGGAACCGTCCAGAGTCCAGACTCAAAGAATATCAACAATAATCTGGTTAGTAGTTAGTTGCAGTCGTAGAATCAGGAGGAATTCTGGGGGGTAGTGACACGTTGAGCAGAGAAGAAACGCTAGCTTCTTGGGCAAAGCATATTGAGTCAATGGAATTTCACCATCCGATGCCATTTTCAGGTTTAGGGTTCTGAGTGGTGGCGAAATTGGGTTGAAAAGTCATCAACAATGTCTGCAAGATCCTTGACCGTCAGATTGTGTTTAGGTGGGAGTCATGATATTCATCTTCATCTTGTCTATTAGACTAATAACCACAAAGACGGGACCTTCCTTCTGACCCATAAGCGGTAAACTACCGACCGATTCACTACACTAATTCAGGATAGACGATAGAGCAGGCTGGGAAGGTTGCTATATTGGGCCAACGTTAGTGGGCCATGGGCCGCAATATTGGCCTCTCATTTAATTGGTTAGATGTGATGATAACCAACAATTTTCCGGTCAATTATAAACTGACATTTATATAGACGAAAGTACTGTTGTTAATATCAATCAAAAATAGTTATTTTACCAAATTACCCGTAACAATAAAATCATTAATTTTATCACCAGCGGCCTCATTGCATCTCAGATAAGTGGCTGTAGTTGAGTCATTTTTGTTCCCATGTATTAATGCTTTCAATATATATACGGTGTTCGTAGAGAAGGGTACTGTTGTTAATATCAATATATATTGAAAGCATTAATACATGGGAACAAAAATGACTTAACTAGGGCCATTTATCTTAGATGCAATGAGGCCTCTGGTGGTAAAATTAATGCTTTTATTGTTACGGGTAATTTGGTAAAATAACTATTTCTGGCTTAATTCTGTTTAATAATAATAATAATAATGTGTTTTATGCTAATTAATTAATTAATTATTTATGAATTACTATTAATTTTATTTAATATTAACAAACTATACTTAACTCTATTTACTTTTAGTTAATTACAGTACCTAATTAGTGTTATTTTAATTGTGCTAACATATATCAAATTAGGGACACTCCACAAACAACAGATCTTTTTAGAATTGTTGGATTTCGCTCATATGAATGGATTTAATCTCATATATAGTTGTATGGTTGTTGCAAGCACCATTAGTTTGGAATCTTTTATTGGGCTACTAATACGTATTACATAAAAAACGAAGTTCAAAAACTAAGGTGGCGTTCAATAGCTTGTATATATCATGGACGAGACCATTTTGGTCCTATTCATGGTAAGATATGGTGTTATACTATGTGTGGATGGTCCCGTCCACAAAATAACGTGGACAGGGACAAGCCACACCCAAATTTATTATCCATAGTATTTTCTTGTGGATGATCCATACTATGGTGTGGACAGTTTGTGGGAAGGTTTTAATGTCCAACTACTCTCATTTTATTTAATCTTTTAATAATTTTTAAATTTTTAATTTTTAATATTTTATCAATAAAATAATAATTTTTAATGTTAATTCTAGCACAAGTCCGACGATTCTCCTTCTCAACTCTTTTTTCATTATTTAAATATTATTTTTTTAATATTTTTATCAATAAAATAATACTTAAAATATTAATTTTTTTTATTTTTTTATATTTAAAACAATAAATTTTAATTATTAAAAAAATACAATTGTTGTCTACATATTGATGCTTTTTTTCAATTTATTTACCACATAAAATGCAAAAATTAGACATTTATGATTGACTATGTAGATCTCCCATAAAATGTATATGAGATACATGGAATCAAAAGTCCACACACCACATCTATAGAATGCCACTGTTGGTGTGGAATAATCCGGTCCACACAATCTATCCACAGTTTAGAACAATTGTGGACTATGGTGTAGTATGGATTGGTCCCTGCCATGGGGTGTGATGTGGACGGTGGACTAGTCCACACCCACAAATTTCTCATCCACACTACAGAATACCCCCTGAGTTGATGAGTGTAAATACAATCCGGTCATTGATGTTGATTTTCAGCACTTCCCATCAAGCATTGAGGTAAAAGATTCCAAAATGAAAGTCTATGCAATTGGGCTTATAGCTTGGGAGGTAAGGGCCCTTTACTGCACCACTATGAGATGTTCCTAATACACGGCGGGGATGTGCTGTGGGATGTTATGAGGCACTTCCTTATTGAGGGTTGATTTGAACTCTTTACCCATGGACATCTACAAAATTAAGTGTTGAGTCGGGTTTGTGTTGTTTAGCTTGGGCAGTAAGGGCCCTTTATCGCACCACTATGAGATGTTCCCAATACACGGCGGGGATGTGTTGTGGGATGTTATGAGGTGCTTCCTTATTGGGGGTTGATTTGAACTCCTTACCTATAGACATATGCAAAATTACTTATGGACATATTTGATACCTTTTTTCATATTTGTTAAAAATTGTCTTAATATCTCATTTTATTTACAATCGGGCTATGTTGGGTCGTGTTGAGTCGGGTCATGTTTCCCTCCCCAAGGATACTTTAGGGGTTGGCCCTACACAGACCTCGGCCCGAGCCTGCGTAGGCCTATGCCATGTCGTGGATCGGACTGGTTCGCGGGCCAAGTCTTAGGCCAGGCCAGGCCAAGCCACGAACCGGGCTAAGACATGTTTTTTTTAAATATTTTGAAAAAAATAATGAAAAAGTTAACATCAATTAAAAACGATAGTAAAATTTTATTTTATATGAATTTTGATGTATACAACTATTTATATATGCAATAATAAAATGAAATAATATAACAAAATTATATATTAATATTTATATAATTATTGTATATAATATACGGCCTAAGCCCACATGGGTCCATGTCATACCACTGGCCAGGCTAGTCCATGAGCCAAGTCTTAGGTTAGTTTAGGCCATGAAATTTTATAAAAAATGAAAATTTTAACATAAATTAAAAAATAGATAAAAAAATAAAAAAGATCTTAAAATTTTATTTTAGCCCAAGCCTGCATAGGCCCATGCTGTGTCGTGGGCCTGGTTGGTCCGCAGGCTAAGTCTTAGGCCAGGCTAGGCCAAGAATCGAGCTAAGCATGTTCATGGGCTCGGTAGCACAATAGTTTAGCCCGGCCCATTAACAATGCTAAATTAATTAATTAATTAATTTGAGATAGCATTTACCAATCTTGTGTTGATAATACATAAAGTTATATTTATTTATTTATTCATTTATTTTACTGATTTATTTAATTAGTTAATAATTTAATAATCTAACAAATTATTATTGCTAACAAAGTAAAACATAGAATCATGTATATATTTATATATATTTACTCTCTCACTTGATTGTCTATTTATCGCATTTTTTTGTTTATTTATTATACTAAATTAATTATTATTTAACTATTTACAATTATTCTACTATATAAAACAAAAATACAATAACAAAAGTCATCTCTCCCTCTTTCACTCTATTGCTTGATGGTCATGATTATTTATTTATTTATTGTTTTATTTTATTAAATTAAATATATTATTATACATAAATTTTTATTTATTTTAAATAGATCTTTTTTCCAATAAAAACTTATCTTTCACAATTGTTTCCTATATAATAATTTAGCTTTGATAACCACTTACCATCATGTTTTGCCCATGCAACACAGGGACCCCTTCACTAGTAATAATGGTTTCTCTTATCATTTTCAAGGAAGCAAACAACCAAATAATTTTTTCTATTTAATAAAAATCAATAATAATAATAATAATAAAAAAGAAAGATGGAGAAAACTTGGTTGTGTGTGAAAGTGAGGCATAGAGATTACCAATCTTCCATCAATATTGTGTTCATGTTGATACACATATCTGAATACCCCTACCTCGATACAACACAAGTACCGCACGAGAATATGAATTATCACCCCTTGTCTATTCAGAGTTCAGATCAGCTACCAATACAACGTCCCCACCACGTCCCAACAAGCCATTGTAGTTGTAGGAACATCTCCTGATGTAGCGCGATCTAGTCACTCCTAGCTGGCACTCGCGTGGCTCCTGAGAAGTACCTGGGACAAGAGGGAAGAAGAAGAACTCCCGGGGGTTTGCCTGGCGGGAACACTCCGATGATTAAGTCAGTATCTTGTGCAAGAAGCAAAGGGTAAATGAAGGCTAAGAGTGAAGATTGCGCAGATGATTCGAAGATACCTTGTTCCTTGAGAATAAGCCCCATATAACTGAATTTCGTTGCTTCAGGCCCCCTGCTTCTGACAAGGCAGGTATAACCGCCACTATTAGTCTGCCACAGCCGTTACAGGCAAGGCTGAGGTGGCACGCGCGGGGCCGTCATTGCAGGGTATGTGCCTGTCAGGTGTGAGACACCTTTCTAAAGGTGACAGGCGCGACGCTATCTGACAAGGGACATGTCTGTTGTCCACAGATTTTTCGGGTACGACGGTCGAGCAGGAAGCCTTCCTGTGGTATGCCGAGCTACCCTTCCATGAATTACCTTGAGCCGGGCTGTCTCTTGAGTGACGAGATGCCTGTAGCAAGTTATGCCGATCTGGCTGACCCGAGGTGTCTATGCCTCGGGGTGTCCAGAGATGGATCGGTGCGTTCCCGTCTGGGAGTGGCTCGAGGTCCATTGGGAGGAGCTCGGGCCTCAAGAGAGGTCAAGATGCCCCAAACTCGGGGCGCCCGAAGTCCCTTAACTCCGGAGAGGAGGTGCGAGTGAGGCGGCTTCCAGCGAGTGGTTTATCCGCCCAGTTGCCGAGCTGAACTCGGTGGGACCTTCCCTTTGAGTTGTGGTCACGTCCGTTGCGCTGTCCTGCTGAGTCACTATTTGAGCAAGGTCACGCCCATGTGTACCCGTATTGCGAGGTCGGGCCAAATCACCCCCCATCAATTGCCCCCCACTCCCTACGCTGGTGGCGAT